AACTCCTGTATTTCAAATTATATAACCTAAACAAAGCTCTTTGAGGAAGAAAAACACCAATTAAAACAAAGGAAACTTCCAATCGCAGTATATTGTCTTTATCCCCCTTTTAAATTATGATCATGATGATTATCTATGTATCTACATATCTATCTATGCATCTATGCATGTATCTGTGTATCTATCTATCCATCCATCTATCTATCTGTGCATGTAGATTTACTTATTTTTATGGGGACTTAATATCTTAATGTATTAATGAACACAGTTTTTTCTTGGTGACTCATGAGCACTATAAAAAGTCAAATTCAAGGTGGTTGTTCCTATATATAGAAAAGGAACTCTATGAAGGCTTTGAGCATAATGGTTATACTATAAACCACACCTATGCAAGCATGTAGGGTTCCTCAGTCAAGATGCCTTACAACTTGGGCTTTCTAGCTTTCTTCTACCACCCAGTAAAGCTAAGGGGGGAAAGGAGTTAGTAAATCCCAGAATCAACAGCTAATTGACATTTAATGTCGGGAAATCACTTGGAGAGCCTGAAGGTGGTGCCTCTTAGTATAGGGAGAAGAGAAGTGAGGCATACGGCATCTTCCACATGACTTATGCCCACTTTGAGTATGACTTCTTTCCATATGCTTTGAGGTTCTCTCCTCTAAGTTTTTATTTCGTACTGTGGTGTCTTTTGTACTGTATGTTTATTTGTATGTGTCGTATAAGTATAGGTTAACTATGAACTCTCAGAACTTCTGTGCTTCAATGTGAACCACATGACTCTCTACAATTTTCCCGGAAGGCCACCTCTCCTGTCTTTTACCACATTACTGTCAAATCTGTTTTTCTTCTTCCCAAAACTCTGCCAGCATCACACTTATGTGCAAACCATGTCCTTTTGCTTCAAAACTGTGATATCGTTACATAAGCGGAATATATGTTTCTTATACATAAAAAAGTTTGGGTAACGTAGGTTGGAATGGAATGCTTATAATTTTCCCCAATAAAGTTAATGGAATTTTTAAAAACTTAACAGCTTTTTAGTTAGTGGCATGGCTTTTAGGAGTGAGTTGCAGTGATTAAGCTAGTAATAGGTACAATTGGATGCAGGAAGGGGGACTTTAGTCACTGCAATTAAATGAATATGCCAACACACCCCACACATCTCCTGACATTTCTTACACAAAAGAAATACTTTGCACCAATAATAATGCTGATGTGCCATAGATGATGACCTACTGAATCAGGAAATTTTGGCAAAGAAGCTTTGGAGACCTTTGCTTTGGGCTCTTGGTGCTTTATAAAGTCTTACTTCCTATTGGACTGGAGAAGGCCAAATGATGCTTGGGGCATGGTGATGCAGTCAGGATACTTCATTTAGTTTCATAATGTTTATACTGATCACACATTTGAGGAAACTGTGCTAGCTTTTGAACTATGTGACTGACTGCCTGGCTTTAGGCATTTTAAAATGCCTTTTTTTTCCATTTTCGTCTTGGTAATAACAGATAGGAAAGGGAAAATATGCACTTGGATTGTGTATGTGTGTGTGTATGTTAGAGAGATAGAGAAAGAGAGAGACAGAGAGACAGAGAGAGATAGAGAGACAAGGCAAGAATATAACTAGGCATAACACTCAAAGTTCAGATAGCAATTTTTACTGTGATTTTTAAAAAACAACTTTTAAACTTTATTTTATTCATGTGTGTGCACTCACGATGGCAATTGTGTAGATGTCAGAGAACAACTCTGTGAAGTCAGTTCTTGCCTTTTATCATGTAGTATAAAAATCATATCTTTAGGTTTGGTGGCATCTTTACTCAGTGAACCATTTCACCAGCTACAGCAGCCTTGTCATTGTTAGATGAATCTTTTTGTCAGAAAACTCAGAGTAAATGCAATTCAGGATCTAAATAATATACAACCTGGGGGGTGTATTTGAAAACTCAGTCATCGGTTATATACCCCATTTGGGATTACATGTGGTTGCTATGTGTTGTCAGGGAGAGGCATGAACACAGGAGGGGCTTGAGGTGCAAAGGGAAAGGGTGGGACTAAGAAGCTCTCTCGAAGCTGCCCTGTAATAGACAACAGGATTTTTAGGTAGTGTTACCAAAGTCTAGCAATCACACTGTTTTCTAAAGATGTGTTTATTCTCAACAACTAACTGAGAAATGAGAATGCGTCAACACGGCATATTAATGAACATGATCATTTGTATTGGTTTTATTTTTGGTGACAGTGAAAGAAACTATCTTGGAAACATCACTGGGGACCACCAAAGGAAAAAGAGGGAATGCTGAGACTCGAGGAGATCAAAGCCAACACCAAAGTCTTCTATTTTATTTTTATTTTTTATTTTTTAGCTAAACGGCATTGTTAGCAAAGAGTAGGATTACAGGAGAGTAAAAAGAATCCCTCCTTTTGTACAGTTGAATGGAGCTTTGATTTGCTTCCTGGTCCTGAATCTGTGCTAGTCACTTTTAGGCTAGCTACTCAGATAGCTAGCCTGTTGTTCAGCTGAAATACCCCCTGCAATCTTCCTTCTCCTCTACCTTGTCCCCCACGCCCTTAAGATCACTCTGACTGATCCATAAAAGGAATCCACCAATAATCTCAAACCCCATTGAGGAGTGAAAGCCACATAGCCTTCATTCACTGGATGTGCAGGTGGATGGGGTTAATAAGATAGCTCTAGGTATGTGGCCCTAACTATAGGCAGGGCAGACAGCTGTCAATAGGCTTGGGAAGTGGATGCCTCACACACTCTACTCTCCTTTATTCTTCAGTGTAGTCAGAGGGTAGAGTCCGGTTTATCCACCTAGCAGAATTCTTGTTCAGAATTTGGAACATGTTAAAAGGTGCCAGGCTACATTCTAAATTGGCCAGCTCTCTGGATTTGTGATATAAAGAACACATGCTGAAAAACAGCTCAAAAACACTCTCTTTCTTTTCCTTTCTATTAGGAAACAAAACCAAAAAATAAAGTTGTAAGAACTGCACAGTGAACTGCAATCTGCACTTTGCTTGGACTCACTATTTTGGTCACTATTTCCCTCTTTGCCTGTCATACTAATTTCATTATTGTTGTCATCACCACCACCACCAAATCATTTATGTGGACCTTACAGACATTATGACCCTTTACTTCCACAACCCCAGCCTTGATTTTCTTTTACGAGCAGGGATATTCCTTCACCAATATTATTGTTATTATTATTAGTAGTAGTAGTAGTAGTAGTAGTAGTAATAGTAGTAGTAGAATAAGATAGTCTCTGTCAAAGCCTTTGTGACTAAAGTGTAGGCTGATTCCAAGTGCTGAGAGTTATGCTCTGTATGGAAGCCCTGTCAAGGCAGGGAGCACAGAGGGCACACCACTGCTTGTCTACAGGTCTTTATTGATGCCACAAAACGTATTTTTTCTATGTTCTCTTTAGATACATGGAATGAAGATAGCATTCTCAAGATCTGGCTTGTGACTTTAAATTTTATTTATTTATTTATTTATTTAACAGTATGCATTGTGGAGAGATAAAAGTTTTTTTTTAACCATTCTTAAACTCCGTTTAGGTTTTCAGCTGCCACCATCCAGCCTGCACATTACTGCAATTGAAAATGTATGCCTTTTAAGAAATTATACTTTTTAGTTAACCGAAGGGAAAACTTTCCATTCTTCTGTGAATCATCATGTCTCCCATGGGGAACTTTAAAAACCCTGTGTTGGATTAACACAGTAGGGTGACAAGGAGGTAATCCGATTCATTTCACTTAATGTGCAATGAATTTTGCAAGCAACTTTCTGGGGGGTTTGCTCACTGATCATTTGGGTCTCTTTCATGATGTTCTGGAGAAGAAGGCTCCCAGAGCAGACCAAAGTAGGATACCAGAGAAATGTATAAACCAACAGCACTCGGGCCACTCCTGCCACGTGGGAATGCATCCATGCTGCGTCACCCTCCCCAACTGTCTCCGGAGAACACAGCTCCCGGGCACTTTAAGGAGCAACCCTGTTTCCCCCTCTGAGAACCAAAAGACTTGATAGAGCTGGAATTCTATGGAGCGACTTGCTCCAACACGAATCCACAGCATCCCCAATACTTTCCTCCCTCTGAACTGGCTACCAGCACCCCCATTCTTAACTTGAGGACTCCCAACCCCCACCTTTCAGAAAGTCTCAATTCTAACCTCTGAGACGTGTGTGAGAAAGTGTCTGGGCGCAGGAACGCACCAGGCGCGGTCCGGCCACCAGTGACTCCCAGCGGCCGCACAGGGCGCTGCGCCCCACTCCGCCC